AAATGAAATTTGCAGTGAATGCGTCCATAATGTTCATTTTCTAAAAAGAAGCTGGCAAGAGGCGAAAAAGAAATAAACCAATTATCAGTATTACTCAAATTTGTTTGCTCTCGTTTTGCTTTTGGGTTCTCAGGCCCCCCCTTGTTTTGTTTTGGCGTCGAGATCCGGTTTTGGAGCTGCAATTTCCGAGGCCGTTGCGCGTAGTTCTTTTGTGTTTTGCAACTCAGTCTCTGCAACTCGCATTGGAATGGCTGCGTGAAGGTTGCTTGGCGCCGCGGCTGCATGCGTAATACTATTGTCTTTTTCAGCTGAAAATCGTAAATCGTATTGGAGTGGCTGCATCCAGGCTGCAAGATTGATGTGTCAGGATTTTCTTAATTTTGGAGCTGGTAAGTTTCCTTTTAAAATTCCTTTTGCAAAGTGCTTCAAAATCGTCTTTTTTCTGCTTTGGCGTCGACATCCGGTTTTGGAGCTGCAATTTCCGATACTGTTGCGGGTAGTTCTAGTGTGTTTTGCAACTCAGTCTCTGCAGATCGCATTGTAGTGGCTGCGTCAAGGTTGCTCGGTGCAGCGGCTGCATGCGTAATACTATTGTCTTTTGCAGCTGAACATCGTAAATCGTATTGGAGTGGCTGCATCCAGGCTGCGATAGTGATTTGCGAGTAGATTTTCGCAATTTTCACGCTAGTAATTTTCCTTTTAAAAATCCTTTTGCAAAGTGCTTCAAAATCGTCTTTTTTCTGCTTTGGCGTCGACATCCGGTTTTGGAGCTGCAATTTCCGATACTGTTGCGGGTAGTTCTAGTGTGTTTTGCAACTCAGTCTCTGCAGATCGCATTGTAGTGGCTGCGTCAAGGTTGCTCGGTGCAGCGGCTGCATGCGTAATACTATTGTCTTTTGCAGCTGAACATCGTAAATCGTATTGGAGTGGCTGCATCCAGGCTGCGATAGTGATTTGCGAGTAGATTTTTACAATTTTCACGCTAGTAATTTTCCTTTTAAAAATCCTTTTAAAAAGTACTTCAAAATCGTCTTTTTTCTGCTTTGGCGTCGACATCCGGTTTTGGAGCTGTAATTTCCGACACCGTTGCGGGTAGTTCTAGTGTGTTTTGCAACTCAGTCTCTGCAGATCGCATTGTAGTGGCTGCGTCAAGGTTGCTCGGTACCGCGGCTGCATGCGTAATACTATTGTCTTTTACAGCTGAACATCGTAAATCGTATTGGAGTGGCTGTATCCAGGCTGCGATAGTGATTTGTCAGTAGATTTTCGCAATTTTGGTATAGTAATTTTCCTTTTAAAATTTCTTTTAAAAAGTGCTTCAAAATCGTCTTTTTGTCGCTTTGGCGTCGAGATCCGGTTTTGGAGCTGCAATTCCTGTTGTGATTATGTACAAGAAAGCTTCTCTGTGCAAAAACTTTTTCTGTAAAAGGTTGCTGTGTGTAAAAGCTTCTCTGTAAAAGCGTCTCTGTGTAAAAGTTTCTGTGTGTGTGTGTAAACGCTTGCCATGTGTAAAAGCACTGTGCGTAAGTGTTCTGTGTGTAAACGCTTGCTGTGTGTGAAAGCTTGCTGTGTGTAAAAGCTTCTCTGTGTAAAAGCTTGTTGTGTGTAAAAGCTTCTCTGTGTGTAAAAGCTTCTCTGTGTGTAAAAGCGTCTCTGTGTAAAAGTTTCTGTGCGTGTAAACGCTTGCCATGTGTAAAAGCACTGTGCGTAAGTGTTCTGTGTGTAAACGCTTGCTGTGTGTGAAAGCTTGCTGTGTGTAAAAGCTTCTCTGTGTAAAAGCTTGTTGTGTGTAAAAGCTTCTCTGTTTAAAAAGCTTGCTGTGTGTGTAAAAGCTTGCCATGTGTAAAAGCACTGTGTGTAAGTGTTCTGTGTGTAAACGCTTGCTGTGTGTAAAAGCTTCTCTGTGTAAAAGCTTGTTGTGTGTAAAAGCTTCTCTGTGTGTAAAAGCTTCTCTGTGTGTAAAAGCGTCTCTGTGCAAAAGTTTCTGTGTGTAAACGCTTGCCATGTGTAAAAGCACTGTGCGTAAGTGTTCTGTGTGTAAACGCTTGCTGTGTGTGAAAGCTTGCTGTGTGTAAAAGCTTCTCTGTGAAGAAGCTTGCTGTGTGTGAAAGCTTGCTGTGTAAAGCTCGTCTGTGTAAAAGCTTGTTGTGTGTAAACGCTTGCCATGTGTAAAAGCATTGTGTGTAAGTGTTCTGTGTGTAAACGCTTGCTGTGTGTGAAAGCTTCTCTGTGAAGAAGCTTGTTGTGTGTAAAAGCTTCTGTCTGTAAAAGCTTCTCTGCTTGAAAAGCTTGCTGTGTGTAAAAGCTTCTCTGCGAAAGAACTTGATGTGTGTAGAAGCTTTGTAGTACAAAGTAGTACTGGAACGTGTTTTGTGCAAGCTTTGTAGTACAAAGTAGTACTGGAACGTGTTTTGTGCAAGCTTTGTAGTACACAGTAGTACTGGGAAGTGCTTTGTGCAAGCTCTGTAGTACAAAGTGTACTGGAACGTGTTTTGTGCAAGCTTTGTGGTACAAAGTAGTACTGGAACGTGTTTTGTGCAAGCTTTGTATTACACAGTAGTACTGGGAAGTGCTTTGTGCAAGCTTTGTAGTACAAAGTAGTACTGGGAAGTGCTTTGTGCAAGCTTTGTGATACAAAGTAGTACCGGGAAGTGCTTTGTGCAATTGTAGTACAAAGTATTACTGGGAAGTGCTTTGTGCAAGCTTTGCAGTACAAAGTAGTACTGGGCAGTGTTTTGTGCAAGCTCTGTGGTACAAAGTAGTACTGGAACGTGTTTTGTGCAAGCTTTGTAGTACAAAGTAGTACTGGGAAGTGTTTTGTGCAAGCTTTGTAGTACAAAGTAGTACTGGAACGTGTTTTGTGCAAGCTTTGTAGTACAAAGTAGTACTGGGAAGTAGCTTGTGCAAGCTTTGTAGTACAAAGTAGTACTGGGAAGTGCTTTGTGCAAGCTATGTAGAACAAAGTAGTACTGGAACGCGTTTTGTGCAAGCTTTGTAGTACAAAGTAGTACTGGGCAGTGTTTTGTGCAAGCTTTGTAGTACAAAGTAGTACTCGGAAGTGCTTTGTGCAAGCTTTGTAGTACAAAGTAGTGCTGGGAAGTGCTTTGTGCAAGCTTTGTAGTACAAAGTAGTACTGGGAAGTGTTTTGTGCAAGCTTTGTAGTACAAAGTAGTACTGGAGTTTTTGTGCAAGCTTTGTAGTACAAGCTTTGTAGTAGTAGTACTGGGAAGTAGTTTGTGCAAGCTTTGTAGTACAAAGTAGTACTGGGAAGTGCTTTGTGCAAGCTATGTAGAACAAAGTAGTACTGGAACGCGTTTTGTGCAAGCTTTGTAGTACAAAGTAGTACTGGGAAGTGTTTTGTGCAAGCTTTGTAGTACAAAGTAGTACTGGGAAGTGCTTTGTGCAAGCTTTGTAGTACAAAGTAGTATTGGCAAGTGTTTTGTGCAAGCTTTGTAGTACAAAGTAGTATTGGAACGTGTTTTGTGCAAGCTTTGTAGTACAAAGTAGTACTGGGAAGTAGCTTGTGCAAGCTTTGTAGTACAAAGTAGTACTGGGAAGTGCTTTGTGCAAGCTTTGTAGTACAAAGTAGTACTGGGAAGTGTTTTGTGCAAGCTTTGTAGTACAAAGTAGTACTGGGAAGTGGTTTTTGCAAGCTTTTGTAGTAGACATCAGTACTGGGAAGTACTTGACATAAAAATAGCCGAGAAGAACCTTGCTGACATATGGGAAGACATGGAATGAGATGAGAAGAGCTCAGATGAGATGAGTTGAGATGAAGTGCAAGTGTGGAGTGTGGAGTGTGGGGTGTGAAGAGTGCAATGTGAAGTGTGAGGAAAGTGTTTGCATTGTACCGGGGTCGCCCGCAGGTCATGTTCTTGGACAGCAACATGCAAGTTCCTTAGTAGTAGTACTGGGAAGTGATTCATGAAAGCTTAGATGACATATGAGAAGAGATGAGATGAGAAGAGATGAGCTGGGATAAGGTGAGAAGAGCTCAGATGAGATGAAGTGTGGAGTGTGAAGAGTGCAGTGTGAAGTGTGGGGCGTGAAGAGTGCAGTGTGCAGTGTGGAGTGTGAAGAGTGCAGTGAGAAGTGTGAAGGGCGAAGTGGAGCTTCAAATGTGACATGTGAAACGGGACACCACTTTCGCAGAGTGCACGCACACACGGGCTTGGCTGGCGCACGGCGCATGCAAGTTCTATAGATGAGAAAGGTCTTATATATATCTTTAAGGCAACTTCCGCCCCGCCTCGTGCGGGTACTACTGGTAAGTTAAAGTGAAGGCAAGGTCCTGCAGAGTAACACAAGAGAAGAGAAGAGGAGGCAAGACAATCAAAAGCAAGAACAACATGAAAGAGTGATTAAATAGAATGAACACAATGGACACGTGATTTTTGGCCTGTGAACTTGCGCACAAAGGCAAAGTCATGGACATTGAATCAGCCATCGAGAATGAATAACCCATCCACCAAGGGCTCCTCTAGCAGTCAAACATCCCTTCTATAGACATCTCAGATCTCATATTTATCGGCAACCCTTGCTTTTGTATAGGCATCCTATCCTATTCCAAACTTCCGCCACCATCTCGCGCGATCAACGTGCTAATCAGAGACGTAGTGCCAGACAGCAGCCCAGGAAAGGACGACGCTTCACGCGCATGCATGAATTTGACCTCTTTTCCCGTGACAAAATTCAGTGGACTGCATCGAACTGTTGCTGCAACAATGAAAATTCGGTTGTCAAGAAAACGACAATTTGATTCGAGTCTAGTGGCAAACTTCACAAGCGGAGACTAGAAAGGGAAACGGTTTTTTCTTTTACTCCTTCACAAGATTCGCGCTATCACTGCGGGAGCGCCCTCTCTGGTAGACTCAGCAGAACATGCCCCAGGATTGTTTTTGGTTTTATTGGTGTCTCAGCGCACATGTCAGGAGCCGCATGGAGAAGCAATTACATCGAAGCTTTAAATTTTACGCGCTGTCTGGACATTGGGGACTGCTTCATGAAATCGTGCGGATTAAAACGTAGCACAACATGCTGTTCGCGACGCGCTGCCAGCCCACACGTGTGCGAAACACAGGGTCTTCCCTCGATTTTAGCATGCCGAGTCCGGTCTGATGTGGGGCTGCGGCTTTCCTCAGCACTCGCGCCTGCATGAACTGGCCCATGGTACTTCGAAGTTTGGTCGTGTCCCAAGCCCATTTTGCTTTGACTTTGGAAACAAGACCGCAGAGGCTCAACCAAAGAAGCCCGGCTGGGAAGAACAGGACCTTGGAATTAAACATTGGCAAGGCGTATCAAGGCGTGAGGTTTGAAATTGATCGTCGATCGACACTGATTCCAGCTTTGCTTGGAGGGGAGCCAAGATTGTCAGCAAAATTGGGCCTTAAAATTTTAATTGATATACGCAATGTAGTGAGCCAAGTGAATATCCGAGAAAGTGTCTTCGTCCCAGACAATCGCCAACTCATGCAGTGTTTTTTTACACGAGATGCCAAACAATGAGGGCAAACGTAAGTGATTGTCCCATTTGGGGGTTACCTTTGTGCTGCCCACAGCGACACCAAGTCACCAGTAAAATGTAGCGTGCCACTGGGTTTTCACCGGCAATGCAAGCAAATGCAAAGCCGTCAATGTCAAAGGTAAAGACCTACTGGGCACGTTGAAAAGTTTGAAAGACTTGAACGGTTTGAGGCGCATGACGATGTCCATGATGTTCATGTTATGGTAATCAAGTGAGGAGCCTTCGGAATCCTGGTGGGTCCTAGAGGGCTGGAGACTCATGAACACTCAGATCATTCAGGCAGCGCAACGAGAAATTTCAAAGCTGCTATGCTGCTATGCCTGCCTGCAAGAAGCCCCAGATGCCTTTGAGGCTCACTGGCCATCCCACCGTCATCGTTCCAATGATCCCCAGGCTTTGGAGCATGTTGATCATCATGCCAACTGCGCATGTCGTGCTGACCAATGTGGAAGCCTTTGCCGTCACAGCCGAGTTCAAGAAGTAGTAAGCCCCCACCAGGCCTGTGTAAGAGCTTCCAGCTGACGGTTTTGAGTGACCTCCTCATTTGTTGATCTACCCGTGAACCCACAGATCAAGGAGATACTGATACAACTGACGGTGGCTAAGCCTCCATTTGCAAAGTCATATGACTCACAAGGCTCCGGTCATGTGACAAGAGCTGACTTTCAATCGGTGTGCATCCGTGGAAGCAAACTCACGGGCTGCAGAAAGGATCGAGGCAAAGGATTCCAGAAAGGATTCCAGAAAGAAGTATTATCCATAACTAGACACGATAATATTATGGATTACGGCTGCTTAAAACTATGGCTAGTATGGATCATACTAAAACCATAGCTAGGCAAACGTCTATGGATATGAAATGAAAAAAATAAGTATACAGTATACAGTATACTCAGAAAAACTCCAGGGGCAAAACGGTAACCTATAACAACCAATCCCAACGAGTGGAAATGTTGGGCTATGGCTACAGCATTGCAAATGAGCCACATCGACAGAGATCTGGAACATCAAAGCAGGCGAAAGGAATTGTGGACACCAAGTGGGCAAATTGACCACAAAGTCTTGCAAGCTACCACTTGTAGGATTTCTATGCTCATTTTCTCTCCGCACAAGTGCCCTCCCCTTCATTCCCCAGTGCGCCTGCGAAGATGAGCGCAATGCACAAAATCCAACCAATCGCAGACCATGCGGTGCATCCTGAGCATTTCGATCCGGCCCAATAGGTCGCAGCCGGACATTCGCCACAAGGAACCCCAATGCGATCTCCACCACAAGTGTCAGGCTTTCCGCCTGAATCAAATGCGGCGTAAAATTTGCGACCGAGCACAATATACCTGTGTCCCCACCTTCTCTGCAACAAGCCATTCCTATATTCGATTGCGTCATCTTCATCGACTTGTCACTTCAAACTTCAAAATGAATCGCTTGTGAAAGTCTCGCCTGGGCATTCGACTGGGCTCGAGCACTTGAACAGCTCAATCGGTTTCGACTCGGTGCTGAAGTAGCCTGAGTTGCGCTACCCCGGATATGCTGAGATGATGAAAAATGCACGTTTCAAATGTCAAAAACAAGTTTTAGTTCAGACTTTGCCGGATCTTTCATGACAAGATCTTTACAGTCCTGGCCACCAAACGAGCCATTTGCAACCTGCTCCGAAGGAGCTTGTACCTGCCCAAATGCAAAATGAACGACCAACTATACCTCTGTATCCAAGTATCCTTCGATGACCATGGGCGTAAACTCCTCACCCACGGGAGACACACCAGCTTTGAGCGCTGCTACTGTCGACATGGTGGGGCAGTCAAGACCGGCGGTGCAGGCTTGGCAATCGGCTGCAGTCCGGAGTGGAGAGTTCAAATCAGAGACATCGATGCTGCCAGCCTTGCAACCACATCCTGCAGATGGCGGGGAAATTTTCATTGGTGGAACTCTATGGAAGCAAAGCACCACGTTGCCACGTTGTACCAAATTTCGAAACAGCCAATCTGTCCTGAAATTGACTTCATTCCCAAAATCATGGTCGTTGTTCCTGGCGGGCACTTCTTGCATTGAAAAGCTCCTTCCTCGTCCTGGTATTGGCCTGGCAGAACATGACCCCTTCAGCCCCTTCAGTTAAAAAACCTCTGCGCAGCTTGCGACTTTGGCTCAACCAAATTTTGGCCAATAGTCAATAGTTATAACCCATAGCCATGTTGGCAAACGGAAATGCAATGAAATGCGATAACTGACCAGCCGAATGACAAACAGGAATGCAATGGGATGAATGACCAAGTACGACCAATGAAAGCACACGCTAAGAGATCCATTCTTCAACCTCGTCAATGCTTGAGGATTGCGCTGAATCCAGAAATAGAAAAACTGGTCACGGGTCCTGAAGGTCAAAACTATACTAGCAAGACCGAGAACAAGTTTTGTGGAGCTCGTGGCATTAAGGCTCGGAACCGTAAGTTGAAACAGTTCTTTGGCCGCATAGTGAGGGCAATACTTGGGCAGTTTTTGGCATGTTGCAAGACCACAACGTTGGGAGGCGCGGGCCAGCAAAACAACCGACGACCGAACAACCAACTAATTCTATCATTCTTTCAATGACGCAGGCAACGATTCAATATTAACAATCAATGTTGGTGCAGGATGAGGGTTCGACTGGTCAACCAGGTTCGACTCATTTGCTTTCTTGACCGCCTGCCGGACAGAGCGCGCACTCCTCTGGGGACTGGTTTAACTTGGACGTGCCCAAAGGACAAGGATCACAAGCCATTTCGCCGGCTCCCAGCTGTTGCTGGCCCGCAGGACAAGCTTCGCAAACGTAGGTGGGGCCGGAATCATCGGAATAGGCCTCGACATTTGAACACCATTTGTGTCTAGACCTGCTATGGAGTGACCAGTGACATGGAGTGACATGTTATAGTCTAGACCGCAAAATTTTGGCACGGTGTGAAAGGGAACATGTAGAAACATGGGGCTATGTGCGCATGAAGCTTGCTCCTTGGAAAGCATCCCTGGAAGGCAAGCCCTGCAAGTCGTGGCTGTGGTTCGCTGGGCAGTGAAGACCTCCGTGGCGTCATCGTAAAGCCCAAAGCCAGGGTCGCACTTGGTGGAATCTGGAATCCACATGTTCCACCGAACATCGTTGCCTTTCAACCAGGCACAAGCAGCTTGTTCCCGGGTCAGTGAGTTGGTTTTCATGTTGAGCATCATGCTGTCCACTGCCGCGCTATCAAACAAGCTGGCGGCCAGGAGCTTCACCACATCAGGAGCCATTATAGTCAAATCTTTTGGTACGATCTTTGCAGTTTTTATATCTGCCGCAGCGGTGGTGTAATCGCTCAGGGTCCAAGCATAGGCATCGTAAGTTGGCAAGATCAGCTTGGTGGGCTGCATTTCAATGAAGGAATCATCTGGGGTCCACCAGTAGAAGTACATCGACTTGTACTTCCCAGGCACTTCCAAGTACTTGCTCCATGAAGCAGCCACCCCAATGGCGAATGGCATGTTATATGCTGCTGCCCTCTGCGGTGCATGCGGAATGTCCCAACCATCCCCGCCAGTCACAAACACGACGCATTTGCTTGGGTCACTTCTGCAGCTGCTGGGGCGCCAAAAGTACTCGTCCTGGCAGCGGCTTTGGTCAAGCGGCAACACTGGACTTCAAAATGAGGCTGCATATGTTGCATCGAAAAATGTTTTCATGATATGCAACACATCTTCATGTTTTTACCATTTCTTTGAAACCCACGGTTTCTATCACCATTTGGGCCCTGGTCCTGGCAAAGAAGTTTGTACGTCTTCACTCCATTTTCCTCAGTGATGACGACACCGTCAGTATCACCGCTGATTTTGAAGAAGGTATATGCGGTGACGTTGTCGTGCATCGTGGTTTCGCTGCATTTCATGAAGTCTGCTGTGTCAACCTCGCTGCGAGCGCAAAACGGTTTGCCATGACCCACGGGGCAATAGGGCATGAGTAGCCCAGGAAAAAAAACACATTTAAAAAAATGAATGAATAAATAAGTAAACAAACAAACAAACAAATAAATAAATAGATGCTACATGTATGTGTATATATATATACCCAGCGTTTGGTGGTCCCCCCTCTCCCCCCGAGATTATATATATATATACATGTATGTGTATACGTATGTAGTATGTGTATGTATGTATATGTATGTGTATACGCATATGTCTATGTATCCCTCCCCCCCTGTGGATGTGGTGGGGGGTGTGTGGGGGGGTGGGGGAGTGGGGACCCACTGGTTTCCAAGGACCCGATGGCACGCCATTAGGAGGCCGAGGACCGATAGATGACAGGACAGTCCACGCGTAGAAATGCGACCGCAAGTCCAAGGGAGGAGTCCGGTTGGGGGTGAAGACACGACCCTCAAGAACAGCCTTAGCCCACAAGCCAGCAGTCCAAGCACGTGCAACACGATCACGGCCAGAGAGAGAAGCACCAGAGAGGCGAATCCCAAGGGCCAAGTGATGAGCCGGGCAAGCAAGGAACGAGGCTGAGATCTGATCCCGGGTTTCAAGTCCAGTCCGGGGAGGGGCAGCTGAAGCTTCTGGAACCTCAGACAACAACTCAAAGGAGCCCACCGACGGAGCAGGAGACCTGGCACGATCAACAGGCTAAGAGGCAGCAAAACGCAGAAAATCCGCAACTTTAGCAGGAGTGCCAGAAACGGTGACTCGAAGTCCAGGAAAGTCCACTGAAGCCTCAATGACGTCGCCGTGGCAGCTCATACTGATACTCCAACAGATGTGAACGTGCGGCTTGACCGGGCAGGACAAGGCGAAGGGTGGATGTGGAGGCAAGTCCAGGGAGGCAATCAAACCGGAACAGAAGCCAAGCACAGCAACCAACGCCGCACAAAAGTCCAAGCAGAAAGCAGGCAGCGAGAGATCCAAAGCATGGGCTGGAGCAGTAAAAGGGGCGCGCGAGTCCAAACAGGTTACTACGCAAACCCTGCACCACCAGACCAGCAGCTGAGGATAGCTCGAGCATGAACAGCCTTGAGCTCCAACATGTGCACTCTGTTACAAACTTGTGGTCATATTTATATATGAAAGTGTGACCACTTGTCACCTCTCCACGATCAACATGTGGCATCGGTGTTACCAGCAATTTGGCACGAACCGCCAGTGGAAAAAGGAAAGATTCCGCCGTATCGCATTGCCATACCTTTTGTCAATCCTTCACTGGCTTCCATCTACGATTGCTTGTGCAAGTGCAGCTGCCGTGCATGGTAGCGGAGCCTCAGCGTGAGGCTTGAGATCCAGGGCTCCTAGACAATCTCTGGCTGCGAGGCCGCTGGAGAACACATGGCAGCAAATGAGAAAGGATTCCAACAGATCCTAAGGTCCAAAGATGGTGTACCATGCTGGGACGGGAATGCAGCGACGTTTCAGGAGTATGCTGAAATGGCAAGTCACTGGGAACAATCTGTGGCCAAGCACAAAAGGTATCTGTGCGGGCCCAGACTCCAAGCTGAACTCACCGGAACGGCAAGGAGGTTCGTCTAGCAATGAAGCCTGGCTGGATATCTCATGATGGAGGAGTTTCACGCCTCATCACACATCTCTGACGACACCTAGGTCAGCCACAGTTGACTGAGATGTCCGAGTACATGTCCAAGTACTTCAAGCAGAACAGAAGGCTTCGCCATGAGGGGATGAATGAGTATACCACCAGGAAAGCTGAAGTGTATGCTAGGGCTTGCCAGACTCTGGACCGTGTTCAGCGTCGCTACGCTCCCACTACAGCCTCTCGAAGTCAAGGCAGTGTGGTCGAGCCGGCAGCCGGCAGCACCGCCAGTCATGCAGGTGCTGAAGAAGCTGAACCTGATGATGCAGCTTACTACGATGCTGATGAACCAGAAGAACAGGAAGAAGAAGATGATCAATGGCATGGATCCTGGTCATGGTGGCAATCAGGGGATTGGTCACACCGTGGATGGGACTGGGGCCGTTGGTCCAACAATGATAGAAACAATGGAAGTGCCGCAGTGACCCCGGTCAACACATGGATCGAAGAATCAGTGGATTTGCTTCCCTCCTTTGTCCAGGGCTGGTTTCTGCTACAGGACGCTGGGTTGGAGGCCCATGAGAGAAACATGGTGATGACCGCCTTGAAGAATGACTTCTCGGTGGAGCGCGTGGCCCAGGAGCTGCGCAACCAATGGCCGGATCACAATCTACGCCACAGAGACCAGGGCACTCGCGGCAGCGCATGGGCTGCTGAAGATGTTCCAGGAGAAGACTCTCTGCAAGACATCTATGAGCCAGACTTGAATGGCCTGGCACAGTCAGGCATGAACGATGAGGGCCTGATGATGATCGAGTCGGCAGAGGAAGAAGTTCAAGGAGCCCTGGCTTTGATGGAGCGTGGTAGAAAAACACTCAAAGAAGCCAGGGCCAAGCAGCATCAAGTGAAGATGAGTCGCCAGTTCTACAGAACTGACTACCGGAGCACTCGCCCTCCAGGTGGTTCCTCTACCTCCACAGGTGGCTTTGCTGGCAAGTGCCTCAAATGTGGCGTGGTGGGCCATAAGGTGGCACAATGCCCTCAGCGCACCCAGGACAATGCCTCATCGGCTGAACCTCGAGAAGAAGCACCTTTTGTCTGTTTCTCTGAGGCCCAGGCCACAGGCAATGTCGTGCGAGAAGGGGTCACCTCTGAGCAGGCCATGTTGCAGGGCAAGGCCATCTTTAGATGGCGGTGCAACACGCACCCTAGGGTCAGTAGCGGCTGTAGAACGTTTGATGGAATTGAATCAGCACCGCCGAGGACACAGGTCTCCGACATGTAGATAGTGAGCAGCGTCCAGTTTTCGGCTTCGGGAACTCCAGTTCCGATCGCTGTTTGTCAATGGCATGGATGCATGTGGAAGCCGGGTCGGGGTGGTGAGTTGAAAGTTCACACTCTGGATCGTGGTTCTAGTCCTATTTTGTTCTCCATTGAGACACTCAGATCCCTCGACGCAATCGTAGATTTCAAAGAAGACTTGATTGTTTTTCGTGAGCTGGATCCCAAGAGGATCGTTGAGTTGGAGAGGTCTTGTACAGGACATCAGCTGTTGCCATTGTCTGATGATTGGTTCACCCAGTCCAAGCTGGCTCAATCGCCAGTGCCCAGTCTGAAGGACTATATCTAGGGACAACTCCTTTCTTCATCTTTGCCCGTAGGTGAAAGAAAGGTCAGTAGTAGGACGGGTAGTGCACAGCTGTCGGAAATCTCATCACATGAAACTTTGGTTGTTAAAGGAAACGATGGATGCGATGAAGATGTGGATGTTGTTGGTGATGTGGTTCAATGTCTGCTGTTAATAACCCCAAAAATAACACTCCACCTGGTTCTGAAACAAGTGGTCTGACTCCAGAAGCTGAGAAGCAGAATGACAGAGCCACTTCTCAAGTTCGAGCTCGCACACCTGCTGATCCACCAGCCCCTCACTATGTCAGCCATGACCCGCGAGGAGATCCTGGACGAGCTGATCAGCCTTGGAGAGCTCCCACCGCAGTCGTGGAGCAACGCCGAGATGAAGCTGCGGATGGAAGAACTGAGGGTGGCCAAAGGGTTGAACCCAAACCCAAGGGCCAAGGAAAAGACTCCCTTGAGACAGATGATGATCCGTCTCAATGCAGCCAGCAACAAGAAGCAAGACTTGGTCAACTTCGTGCGGGACGAGCTCAAGGTGCCCATCAGCACCAACGACACGATTGCCCTGCTCAAGAAGAAGGGCATCATGGCCATCTACCACATGGCACCTCCCAGTGCGATGGATCCAGTGGGCTTTGGAACGCATACAGCTCTCCACTACCAGGAGCTGCAGCAAACACAGCCGGAGTACTGCAAGTGGGTGGTGCAGACAGCTCAAGCAGGGCCAAGCCACTTCGACCAAGGAGCCATTGACACCTTACCCCATCACCAAGGAGGAGCTGATCCAGATGGGCTATCTTCGACAGTCGTCGATCAAGCCGAAGGCCAAAGCCATGGCCGCACCTTCAGTGATCTCAGAGACATTCAGCGAGAGCTCCTCTACCAGAGCGTTGATGGCCAGCTTGGTGACTGTGGTCAAAGATCCCAAGGAGGAAGCCTAAGAGCTCAAGGAGGGCAAGCCTCGCAAGAAGCCTGCCAGCGACACCGGGAGCTTCGACGTGATGTGAGCCCTACACCCTCTTCACCGTCTTCTGTGGTTGATGATGGTGCCTCGTGGTCTGAGAGCGCTGACCCTAGCCTAGTTCCAGCCTTAGGCCGGAAGCCTAGCTCACAGGTGTCTTGCTAGAATCAGCCGGGACCTCTTAGCTGATACGGTTCATGAGTTGCGAGCACCTGAGGGTACCATATTACTGCAGCACAGATAGCATTCTGACCACAATGATGCATGAACTGTCGGGTCATTCAGGTTCCGCCCATCGGTTGTCTATCTGGAATGGGTATGATTTGACCACCAACTCGGGGTTGAAAGCTGTTTTCGATAAGATCGATGTTCTTAGACCTGAACATGTCTGGCTGTCTCCAGACTGTGGCCCCTACAGTATAATGCAGAATGTGAATCAAAGAACTCCGGAGCAGTGTGAAGCTCTGGCTGAAAAAAGGAGGGATGCCCTCAAGCAGTACACGGCATGCTCAGTCATATTCAGGTACTGTTACCAAAGGGGTATTCACACCACATGGGAACTCTCACAAACTTGCCAGGCCTGGCCTCTCCCTCTCCTTCAGAAACTTGCAGTTTTGGATGGTGTGCATTTTGCCAAAGTAAGGGGTTGTCAGGTAGGTGTGAAAACTGAAAAGGGGGATCCCATAAAAAGGTTGGAAGTTGATGACTACTCATGCACTCATGTCACAACGCATGGAGTTGCCTTGTAGGTGTGGTCCAGGGGTCACTCATGTTCCATGTCAGGGTTCTATCACCAAGAAAACGGCTTTCTACACACGTGCTTTCGCTCGCAGGGTTTGTGAAGCCATCCTTCAAAAGGGAGACCCAAAAATGCTTCCTGGGGAACTGAATGGTTCGGGTCATTTTGGGGATGAGTTTGGTAAGGGAACCTTGTGTGTTTGTGGAGAAGGGAAGTATCATGACGCGGGGTTAACTTGCGGGCATTGTACCCGGGATAAAAACCTTGTTTCTGGGGTGATGGTTGCTGATAAGCGGGAAGGGGTTTTGACCACCAAAATGACCCCCGAAGAGGTGCAAAGACGGTTGTATCTTCTCCACTCTGCAACTGGGCATGGTCAAGTGAAACATCTGGTTCAAACCTTGCGTAGGAGGGGAATGGCTGAATCCATCATTAAAGCGGCTGAGAATTTCAAATGCCCAATTTGTGAGGAACGTAAACGGCCCCAACCACGTAATGTTTCCTCTTTGGAACCTTTGCCCCAAAGATTTGCCACGGTGAGTGCTGACATCGGTCATTGGATTCACCCCTATACCCAGGAAAAATGGCAGTTTGTGGTTATGGTTGATGAGGGTTCCAGGTTTAAAGTTGGAAAAATGGTGGCCCAAGGGAAGAAACAACATGTCTCAGCGGCTCAATTCCTCCTAACTTTCAGGGAATCATGGGTTCAGTATTTTGGGTACCCCCAACTTTGACGTTGGACCCCGATGGCAGTTTCCGTAGCAAAGAATTGGAAGAGTTTTGTGACAAACATCATATCTTTTTGGGTATTATCCCCTCTGAAGCTCATTGGAAAATTGGGGTTTGTGAAAGAACTGTTCAGTCGGTTAAACATGTCATGGAATGTCCGGCTGAAGAAGAAAATGACATTTCTGCACAGGATGCTTTGTCAGAGGCCTTTCGGGCACTGAATCACCGCGACACAGCCCGCGGATTCTCACCGTTTCAACATGTCCTAGGTAGAGCTCCAGATGAAGCAGGAAGGTTTTTCACTCCTCTGAACCATGATGCATTGGAACATATTTTAGATTCTGATCGCCAGGACATGGCACAAAACCACCACCGTAGATTGGTGGCAGAGAAATCCTTTTTGGAGTTGGCAGGCCAAAGAGCGGTTGTCACGCGCAGCATCCTCAAAGTATCACAGAGTCCTTGATTTTTCTGCAGGGGACATGGTTTATATTTGGAGAAAACAACTGACAGGGGTGGACGCTCAACAAAACAAGATTGGACAAGGGCGCTTTGTAGGACCAGCAAGGATCCTAGCGACAGAACAGAAGCGGGACTCTCCTGGCAGTTCAGTGTGGCTAGTTAGGGGACGCCGCCTCCTCAAATGTTGCCCAGAAC